ATTTGACTTATAATATTCAAGTGTACATTTTGTAATATTTTTCACCTTACAACACAGGTTGGGGTTATTATATACAGATTGCAATTATCGTCTGATCCTCACGAAAATTGTCATAAGGGTAGTTCTAGGCTCAAAATGGCTAGGCCTATTGTTTTCAAAGATACTCGCAATATATTTAGGGTGGACCAACAACTAAAAATTTTCCTAATTTTGCAGCCGTTATAAAGGAAGTTAGAGTTTAAGACAGCGGGTAGAATGGACCACTACTTTTGTGAGAAAAAAAAAAAACAAAAATTTAAATTTTATCGAAACGTTGAAAATAACTTACAGACGATATCCAAAATACACAGAAAGGCGAACTATTGGCTTTTTGTGCTGAGTTCGTTGTCGAATATATCCAAATATCATAGACAAGCAAATCATATAGATGGGTCTAAATTCAGAGATACAGAGGGGCCTCTTGCTTTTGGAGATGATCGAAAAAAATTAGGGGTTCAAATGTACCAAAAACAGGAAAAATGGCCTTATCACACAATTGAAACCAATCGACACGAAATTTTGCATGAGAAGATATTAAAGGACAGGGAAGAAGTGTAACATTTTGACACAGGAGTAGGGTTGGGCTCAGAAGGGCTAGGCCTATTGTTTTCAAAGATGTCCGCAATATATTAGGGCGTTGAAATGGACCAACAACTAAAAATGTTCCTGATTTTGCAGCCGTTATAGATAGAAACCAAAGGACACGAAATCTCGCATAAAGTTAGAGTTTAGGACAGCGGGCACAATGGACCACTAATTTTGTGTGAAAAAAATACCAGCATTACTTACAGGCGATATCCGAAATACACAAAAGGCGAACTTCTGGCTTTTATGCTGATTTCCTTGACGAATATAGCCAAATATCGTAGACAAGCAAATCATATAGATGAGTCTAAATTTGGAGATATAGAGGGTCCTCTTGATTTTGGAGATGAACGCAAAATATTTAGGGGTTCAAATTAACCAAAAACAGAAATGTTTTTCCGATCACACAATTGAAGCCAATCGACACGCCTGTGAAGAGAGTTAAGGACAGGGAAGAATTCTAGCATTTTGGATGACCATTGGATTATATTTAGCTGTGAAATGGACTACAATAACTAACAGCCCGACGGAGTACATAAATGTTGGGCAAATGTCCCTAGTCAAAATCCTAATTTCAAAAGCGAAATCTTCCAAAATGGTGGACATAAGGGGGCTTCTAACATATTGTAGAGTTGTAGGGTATAACATAGTCGGCCCCGCACGACTATAGCCTTTGCTTACTTGTTTAGATCTAAGTATATTTTTTATACAAAAAGATTTTTGATTTCGAAATGAACATGTGCCCTTTTAACTGTAGCCATAATTTGTTTTAATTTGCATAAGTTTTCTCATGATCCCGAACAGACATTATTGTGGGATTAAATCCATTTTCACATAATTCAATTGCAAATAAACAATCATTGATTAACCCCTCACCCCCCACAAACAATTGTCTTGATTTGAATGACGCTCCATTAAAATTATGATAAATACTATTGTCTGTCATGATTGTCAGCACGATTTCAATAAAAATAATAATAATAACGACAACATTGTCATATCGAAAATACTTATTGCCACATTGATAACGACAGTAATGACGATTTTTAAGCTGCTAAAACTTACTGGATTGTATGAATTCAGACAATTTGTGAAATGTTGTTGTTGCCTTCTTTATTTGAGATTATTTTTTATCCCTCTCATCTAGCAAAATGTTCATACTTACTACAGAGATGTACATATTTAATACATTCATATATTTACGGATGAAGTTTTGGGGGACACAGTGTTTGGGGTTTGTATAAAATATTCGAAAAACATTGACCACAGTGAAAAAGTTTTGAAACTATATCATTTTGGTAGATTACAGTCTTTTCGTAGTATACTCAATGATCGAAAACAGTGACATTTTCTTTCAACAATTGGTCGTTTTAATTTCAATCAGTGGTAAATCGGTGGGTCCGAACCTATAATATACTCCAATGTCCCCAATTTTAAGGCTATATAAAATGCGGAATATACTTTTCATTAAAATCGGGGGATAGATTTGTTGGTTTTAATTTTATTATCGAAAAGCAAAACTTGCTAAGCTTAAAATTCTCAACAAAAATGGAACTTGCGACTTTTTCACTAAGACTTAGCATTTTTAAATTTTGATTGACATTACTACATTAACAGATTACATCTCAATTAATTGCTTTGACTTGTAACATGATAGGATGACAAGTAGAATGCAAATACTATATGTGTTTTCGATTATTTAATCAGCAAGGAAAGGCCTGTATTTCTAATGCAGCTACGTTTAAACGTTTACATTGTGAATTTATGCGAAGTAGATCGTACCTATGAACCTTTTTTGAATACAGATTATGCCAGTTATAATTTTAAATCACAAGGAACTAATATATGAGTTTATCGATTATTACCAAATTTGAAGGAGGCATTTGTATCTCTCATGCCAAATAACATTGCTATAGAGTGCATGGCAAGATTTCAAAAAAGATTACATGGAAAAATATTTATAGGAGCAAAAGATGTATGGGAACCTAGTTTCGACAAATGTATTGCCTCCAGGATAAATACAGTTGAATGTGCAAAATTCAACCAATTTGGGCTGATATTACATATTTGGTGCACAATAACTGAATTCGGTTGGTTCGGATGTGCCAAACACCCACAGTAAAATTGAAATCGGACGAAAATATATGTGGGAGCTATATATAAATTTGTACTGACTCTGAACAATTTCAATAGGTAAAATTCCATCTCAATCTTATAGTCCGATTCTATGTTTAGAAATATGCACGGACAGCCGGACGGAATGTGAATTCTATGAAGATTATCAAAGAGAACAATGGGTCTATTTCATTTCATTCTGCATATAGGATAGGCTTTGCAATAGGTTTTTCATAAAATTTAACATTTCGCTTTCGAGTCAGTCCAATCTTTATACCTTCAGCCTAGAGAGGGTATATACAAAGACATAAAACTATAAAGACTGGACAAAATGCATATGGACTTTAATTTTTCTGCTTGGTAGTAGGTGGCAGGCGACATAACAGAAATGCATTGGAAATTTTACAAAACATATGTTATTCCGATATCGCCGAAAAATGGCGGAAATACGCGGAAAAAAATATCAGGTATGATAGACATGTTCTCAAAAATCTATTCCAGAGCGTTTTTTGTACATCGAATCGATAAAAATCAACAATAATCCTTAAAATGTGTCAGCTCTGTTAAATTATAACATAATGATATGTCACGATATCGTGACAGAGCGAAAATTTTCAAAGTAAATAATTCACTGCACAGAAAGCGAAAGGATAATCCGATTGTGGTCTAACTTTGCAAATCCTAATTAGTGCTAGGTCACGTGCGAAAATGCATAATATCGGTCCACTCAATCAAGTACATCCACCACCAAAATTTTCAATAATTACTACTCTTATAAAATGTGATGTAAGAGTCCGATTGTCTTTAAATTGCAATAATATTTTAATTAACCCAAGGTCTGGTGTGAGGATGAAATATCGGTTCACTCTTTCTGGTTCCTCCCTCACAAAAGGTCGAAATTTTGAAAATCGTTTAGGCTCATAAAACGCGATATTAGCATCCGATTACATTTAGACTTGGCGCTTCTGAATATTTCTATCAACACATGATCTCTTATAAAAACAGTAGAGATCGCACCATTCCTTTTGGTACCTGCCCCACAAAGGGTCACATTTCTGAATATCCAAAACGATAATAAAATCCGAAATAAGCTTCAGGTTCTTTTTATGTTTCAAACATTCCGTTATTTTTACTAACACAAGATCTGTTGTGAAAATGGGATTTATATGCCCTCTCCTTCTGGTACATCCCCCCATAGGCTCAACATTTTGAATATCCATGAAGCTCATAAAACGCGAAATTAACATCCGATTCCATTCAAACTTGGTACATCTCAGTATTCTTATCAACACAAGATCTGTTAGTAAGATGATACAGATTGGACCATTTCTTTTGGTCTTTGCATATAAAGTATAGAATGTAGTCGATATAGTCCACATCTGACACGTTGGAATATTTATTTCAGTTTTAGGTCAGATATTGGCCAATTGCTTCGGAACCTACTCCATGGAGGTTTAAAAATTTGAAAAATCATAACTCAAGGCTGGGAGTATACATCTGTCGGCAAAACCGACTGATACTATTTTACTTCTTTATAAAAAATATGAGTAAACGTTTATAAGATCCTAAAAGGGAAAAACGAAATATTTTTTCAGAATTTTGTTTTATAATCTTCAGATTTGTTTATAACCTACACCACAACTGGCAAAAGGAAACATAGTTCCTTTTGATGATCCGGTTCATATGTAGCTATAGCTCCCATATATACATATTCTTCAACCGATTTGTTAAATTTCTTCTCCACAGCCGTAATATGCACTCCGTAACAACTATATTCCGGGAAATATACAAATACAGCTCAGAAATATCTTTGACAAATTTTATCGAGAACTGTTCAGATTTGGATATAGACCCATATATCTTTAATCGATTTCAAGTTAATTGTGCACCAAATAGGTAATATAAGCTCGAATTGAGAAGGCACAACTGCCTCTGCAAATTTAGTAGAAATCGATTCACAGGAGGATATTCCTCTCATATATTAGTTACTTTAGACTTTAAATTATAACTATAATCGTAGTTGGTATGATTTAATTCTCTCAAAATCCCCATAAAACTTTCATCTGAACTCTGCTAAATATGCAAAGGGGTGTAAGGTAGCATAAAGTCGGCCCCGCCCGACTTTTAAAACTTTTTTTTATATTTTTTTTATTTTAAATGTGCACTACTTTAACAAAAATGGAGAGTATTGATTCATGCGACCCAGTTGAATTGATGCGGATATCTATAGTATCCTAATTTCGTTTATTTCCGATTCGCTATGTTAATAGTACCATAATGCTTTTTTTTAGCAATTTGCAGATTCTAATACCTAATATACCTATCTTAGTTGTGTGCCTGCTTGTTTTTGCATATATCGTACATAGGGACATTCCGCTGTTCTTTAAAAGGCTCAAAAATATTTGGGCGCCATATTACCACTAAAAATATTTTCAAGAAACTATAATAGATTATTAATGTTAAAATTTCGCAACGTTGCTTTTGAAACACTGTTTGCCTTACCCACTCGCATTACAATTGTTCGCATTATAACTACATATCTTGCACATCGTCCGCCTGGCCATCGGTTACTAACATCCATCCATGTGTGTGCATATTCCGAGGGAATAATAATAAAAAGGCACCACCAATAAAAATACTAATAATAACAATAAAATTTAATAATGCTTACGTTGTCAATTTAATTCACAGCACGATTAAATTTCAACACAACAAAAGCAAAAAAAAAAAAAGAAAAAATACAAAAAATACAAAACAACAAACCAAAATGACACAACAACAATGCCAACAACACCAGCAAATAGAGACAGAAAACTGTCAACGACAATAAACATGATGTGCCAAATACGGGAGACACTGGATGGGGTGAGCTAGCTGGCAAGCGATTGAATTGAATGACGGACGGACGAACAGCGGGATATAGTGTGCCATGAAAGACGAGAATGATTTTGAACTTTTCCATTTCGTGCATAAATTAGAAAGAAACCCAGCTGAAAATGTTTTCATTTTTTTTCGCTGTCATATCTGAATATGGCTTGAACTTTGTTGTAGGTATGTATGTTCATTTCTGAATACAGGGTGGCAAGAAATACGCCCTCAGCTATTGGAGCCAAAGTGGGGAAAATATCTCTATCCGAAAATTTCAACATAAATGTGGTTGCAGCCTGTGTTCTGACGGCCTGTCGCGTACAATTGAAGACGCAGCCATTGTAACAACCCAAGTAATGGCGTTAATGTCAAACGAAATTAAAGAAGAGAGCGAAAAATTGAAATTAATAATAATTTGAATACGTTTTACGATTATCACGATGTGAACCAATGAACACAAATAAAATGCCGACAATTCCTACGGTGGCGTATGACAAGAAAACGAAAACAGAAATTAACATTCGTCTTGGTTTTAAATGAACAATTGTAACTTTTATATTCATTTTTTTGCTTGATTTTATTTGCAGTCATAGCTGTGCAAAAGGTTATCAATTAACCCTTGTTTGGGCAAATATCATGTTGGCGAATCGTGATGAACAATTTCACGAGAAATATTCTTTAGAATGGCGAATTTTTCCTTTTGAGCCAGTGATTAGACCTTCTATAGAAATGGTAGCTGACGTTAAGGACAGAGAATACAAATAAATTACGATTCGAAATATATTTTACGGATTATTGATAAAATACCACACCATTAAAGCAAAATCGTGGCGGCCATCTGCACAATCTAGCTCCATTTTTCAAAGGAATTATCTGAAATTTGGTATTTATAGTGCGAACTAGGGAACACTTTTTTCTGGCAGATTATTTGCTGGGTAACACCAGATATTCTGAATTTCCAACTATGAACCTTGTTTGAATGCGAATCATGGCTTTAGTATATTTAAAATATCAGATCTATGTCCAAATCGATTTTCAACAACTTTGACGCTGGCTTTTGTACCTCTAGTACCAAATAACATTGCTGTATAGTGCATGATATGACTTCGTTAAGAATTATTTAAAACAAGTAAAATAAATATTAAGTTCGGCCGGGCCAAACTTTTAATACCCTCAACCTTAGGGTAAAGGAAACATTAGAAGAAATGTGGCAAAAACCATAAAAATGCAGAATATCGGGAGGTACCGTTATATGCGGGTTATACCAAATCATGGACCCATACATACAATGTTTCGCCACAGGAGCTGAAACCCATTATGACCAACAAATACCAATTTTCAGACAAATCCGTAACGTATATCTCATTTTCAATACCAACCATCCTAGACACAATGCAAATTGCTCTGCTAAAGTTTGGCGCTCTACGTCAAATAATGTGGGTTGTATAGTGATTTCAACAGACAGACAGACAGACGGACATCGTTAAATCGACTTAGAATTTTATGCTGATTATGAATATATATACTTTATGGGGTCTACGACGAATATTTAAGGATGTTACAAACGGAATGACAAAGTTAATATACCCTCCTTTCCAAGGTGGAGGGTATAAAAATATTTATTGTAGCAATACATATACCGGAACGAGTTTCACCAAATGGACAAATTCGGTTGAATATCTAATCTATCCAATTGGGGCTGACCGTAAAATCATATGAAGTTGTATATCGAAGGTATATAAAAATCTGAACCGATCTCGATCACATTTGCAGAGATATTTTCGAGCTGTATCTGATGTCCGGTATCAAATATCATTGTTGTGAAGTGCATATCTGAACCAATTTTCACCAAATTTGAAGTACTTTTTTCTAGGACGAATTCAGCCCGCATTGCCAAAATTCAGTTCATATAGGATATTAGCCCATATGCGAGCCACATCCAAATCTGATCCGGTCTCGATAATTTGACAGAGGTATTTTTGAGCTTCATAAGTTATTACGAATGTGAGGTATATAAACACCATGTTGGATGAAGCATGTACATTGGAGAACCAAATTTGAAGTACTTACTTCTAGACTGAATTCGGTCGGATTTGCCAAAATTCCTAATGTCCTAATTTTTTGCGCCCTACACCACATAGTGGTAAAGGTATTATGTCTTTGTGCATTTTTTTAACCATGGGGAAGGAAGCGAGACAGACCCATAGTTACTTTTGGGGATCTTAAAAGAATCACTTTCTGAGTCGATTTATGCATGCCAGTCCGTCTGTCCATGTATTTTTGTGAACAAAATGTTTGGAAAAAGGACAAACCCTATTGAAATTGGTGAGATTCGGTTCAAATTAAGATATAGCTCCCATATATATCTTCAACCGATTTAGGGTTAATTGTGCACCAAATCGGAAATGTCAGCCCAAAAGAGCTGAATTTTGGCAGTTTCGACTGAATTCATTCTAGAAACAAGTACTTCAAGTTTGGTGAAAATCGGTTCAAATATATCTATAACTCCCATATATATGTTTCATCCGATGTGGGGTTTTAAGTTCCTCACAAGCGTAATATGCACTCCCCAATTATGATAATTGGTAGCAGACAACTTATGAAGCTCAAAAATACCTTTGTCAAATTTTATCGAGATCGGATCAGATTAGGATTTAACTTCCAAATATATATCTATCCGATTTCAGGTTTTTGTGCACCAAATTGCCAATTTCAACCCAAATGGACTGAATTTTGGCGAATTTCGACAGAATTTAGTCTAGAAATAAGTACTAAAAACAGAAAATCCGTTCAGATATAGCTATATCCCTCATATATATGTTTTATCCGATTTGGTGTTAAAGTCCCTCACATGTGTAATATATCCTTACACAACTATAATCTTTGGTGCCATATATCAGATTCAGCTCAGAAATAAGTGTTTAAAATAGTGAAGATCGATTCAGATTTGGGTATAGCTCCAACATATATCCTTATCCGATTTCGGGTTTTTTGTGCACCAATTATTATCCCAAATGGACTGAATTTTGGCACGTCCGATTCACGTTGGTGAACCGATTCATATAAAGCACTCCACAACAATGATGGATCCAAAATGATTATTCTGAATAGCTGAATAAAATTCTTTTAAGTTGAAGATTGTGCAATCCTTAGAAGAAGTGGTATTTATCGTCCGGTGACTACATATAAATCGACCGTAGTTCAAATCTATGTTAGCTTTAGAGTGGAGGAAACTTGTTGAATTTTTTTTTTTAATATAGTCAGATACAAATAATTTGTGTATAGACTCATTTGAAGGCATTTGATTTTAGGAAAAACGGACAAGTTAGACAACTACATACTATCGCGGGTTGAGTTCTAAGATATGTTGAACAAATTTGTAGTGGGATTGAATGGCCTTATTCCTCTTTTGAATGTTTCTTAGTCGGCTAAAAATGTCTTTTCCCAACATAGTATTTATTTATTATTTTATGGTTCCTCAAAGAACCACTGATTCACAGCGAGCTTAAAGAACCACTTAGCGAGAGGTATTCCGAAAAGCATTGTAATAAACATTTATTCGAGTTGTTGTTGAAGTTGTTGTAATCATATTTATTATTATTCAAGATTTGTAGTTGTTGTTTAGATAGATAGCTTATTTTTGTCGCATTTTTTTTTGTTTGGAGTTTGTTTTTTGTTTGATTTTCAAAACAACTTCCCTTAAAAGTCAATCTACTGATGGCAGCGGCGCAAGTGGCCATAGCCGCTGTATCCAAAGTGATTGAATGTAGGTGTTAATGTCGCGTGGAGCATACTAATGACGCTGACGGCAAACAACACAGCTTTGCCCTCAGCGTGTTGTGTATTTTGTGTTGAACGTGTCTAATCCCAATGCAGAGTTGTTTTCTGTCTATTGTGGTCGTGTCTGAACCTTTGAAATGCTAACACATCAAAGAACCAGAAATGAGTCGATCACGCGAGTAAAACGCACGCACCTTTATTTGTTGCGTATTTCACTTGATTTGCGGTTATTAACGAGCCTAAAACCGAACCTTGCTTATGATTGCCAAAATAGAAAACCAGACCAAGTGTTTTTCTCCTTGGTTTATTAAATGTCTAAGAGTTCAAACCAAATTCGTTGATTTTGACACATCAATTTTGTTTACAAACAATCGTGGATGATTTTTGAATTTTTAATTAGACGCCAAGCATTGAATATGGGCATCTTTCAAATTGTGACAAAGTCATGATTTATGAATTATTTGACACAAATTTAGTGTTTTTATTAAAAGTTAATTGAAAGCGATAATAAAGAAATCGTTTTTATGTGTGGTAGGCCATAGTTTACGGTTGTAAGAAAAACAAAAACTAACTAAGTAATAATATAATGACGACATTTAATTGAGGTAATGAAATACTTTTTGGAAAACAATTCTTACATAGAGTAGTTGGAGACTTCTACATGGGTAACAATTAGTATCCAATCTAAGTATCCATTTTTAATACTTTAGTATAAGTGGTTATATATTTTTAGCAAATCATCAAATTTTAAAGGTATATCTTTATATATCATGTTCGTGTCGGTCCACGTTTTGGTAATGTCCCATATGCAGGTAAACCCCTATTTATACGAATTTCGGCAAATTTTGGTAACTTAAGTTCTTTATAAGGAGAAACCAACCTTGCAAAAATTTAATATTGCGGATTACATGTAGCTTAAGCTATGGTACCATAATTACAAGGTAGGGCAGAATGATTAACACTACCTTGAAACAAATTTACCACCACCAAATTCTGCTATTTGTTTTTTTACCCGACACCACACTGTGGAACATGGTACTATGTCTTTGTGCATTTGTTGCAGAAGAAAACGAGATAGACCCATATTTCCCTTTGATGATCTTCATAGAATCACATTGAGAATCGATTTATGCATATCTGTCCGTCTGTCCAAAATCAAGTACAGGTCGCATTTATTGTCTGATTGAGATAAAATTTTCCACAAATCATTTATTTGGCTCAAGGACGAACCCTATTGAAATTGGTGATAATCGCAACATCTTTGGATATAGCTTCCATATATAGTGTCGTCCGATTTTATAAGTATTGTGCAACAAATGCGTAGTATCAGTTAGAATCAAATGAATTTTAGTACATACGGCCAAGTGCAGTTCTGAAGTATTCTTGGCAATTTTGGTGTATATCGACTCAGATTTAGATATAGCTCTCATATATATTTCGTTTGATTTCAATTTTATTTTGCGCTATATTTGTAATATTCGTCGAAATGGAATGAATTTCGGCACATCCGATCGCATTTAGCCCGGAGGCAAGCATTTAGAATTTGGTGAAAGTCAGTTCAGATACAGGGTGAAATGAAAAAACTACAACCAACTTCAGACTGCTGTCATTTCTAAGCCACTCGTCCGACAGCTGTTAAAATTATTTCATTGACAGCTCATTATGTTGTTTACAAGCTTAAAAAATTTATTCATGATGGAATTTAAGCGTGATAGTGTGATTTCTTTATATTTGGCTGGAAAACCACAAGTGGGTATCGTTAGAGCATTCCAGCATTAAAATGTGAATAAATCTTTTGTGTCTTGTACCATCGTTCGTTACCGTGACACTGGTAGCATAGCCCAACGTCAAGGAAGTGGACGGATGAAAACAGCAACATCAGCAGAAATGGTTCGAAAAGTAAAGAAGCAACTTGA